CCATTCCGGAACTCCTTGTGACGTCCGGCATCTCATCCGGGACTCCGAACAACATTCGGGTTTCTGCATATACATATCTTCATAACCCTAGCGTCACCGAACCTTAAGTGTGTAGACCCTACGGGTTCGGGAGACAAGCAGACATGACTGAGACGACTCTCCGGTCAATAACCAACAGCGGGATCTGGATACCCATGTTGGCTCCCACATGCTCCACGATGATCTCATCGGATGAACCACGATGTCGAGGATTTAATCAATCCCGTACGCTATTCCCTTTGTCTATCGATATGTTACTTGCCCGAGATTCGATCGTCGGTATCCCAATACCTCGTTCAATCTCGTTACCGGCAAGTCACTTTACTCGTACCGTAATGCATGATCCCGTGACCAGACACTTGGTCACTCTGAGCTCATTATGATGATGCATTACCGAGTGGGCCCAGTGATACCTCTCCGTCATACGGAGTGACAAATCCCAGTCTTGATCCATGTCGCCCAACAGACACTTTCGGAGATACCCGTAGTCTACCTTTATAGTCACCCAGTTACGTTGTGACGTTTGGCATACCCAAAGCACTCCTACGGTATCCGGGAGTTACACGATCTCATGGTCTAAGGAAAAGATACTTTGACATTGGAAAACTCTAGCAAACGAACTATACGATCTTGTGCTATGTTTAGGATTGGGTCTTATCCATCACATCATTCTCCCAATGATGTGATCTCGTTATCAATGACATCCAGTGTCCATAGTCAGGAAACCATGACTATCTGTTGATCAACGAGCTAGTCAACTAGAGGCTCACTAGGGACATGTTGGTGTCTGTTATTCACACATGTATTACGATTTCTGGATAACACAATTATAGCATGAATAAAGACAATTATCATGAACAAGGAAATATAATAATAATGCTTTTATTATTGCCTCTAGGGCATATTTCCAACAATTTATTGGTTGTGATGTCATTAAGCACAAGGGTAAACACTTTGGCCAGTCCAGAGTTGACGATGCCAAACAGCTAGCAGCAACAACACGATTAAAAGGAAGGGAGATACAAGCCCCACTGGGACACACCCATACTGGAAGTGGTACAACACAAAGCCAAGCCAGGCGCCACTAAACAGACCCAAAGTAAAACCTCCTACAGCCAGCAGGCTAACACACACAACAGGGAAGTGGATAGCTAACATGACAACTAAAATTGCACAAAGACGACGAACTAGGCAAACAAGCCGCTTCCTACTGTGTTCCTATGCTCTGTAGGGCCACACCTTCCTCTTGGATCATCTCTAGTGTTCCTTCGCCGCCATGCTCGATCAGCGCATCCTCCACGCCATTGACAGCAGCATCGTCAAGGTGGAAGAAATCTCTCATGGCAATGATCACTTCCGGGGCCAGCTGCTCCTTGAACTTGGCTGTGAAATCAGCAAGCGTGGCCTCTGTTACGTCCTCTCCATCCCTGGTAATTCCCAGGGACTGACTGACCAGCTTTTCTGCCACCTTGGCTGCCGGAACCGCCACACGGGGACCCCCACGCTTCACTTTCTGCAGAGAGAGGCCCCCCTTGCTGGAAATCCTTACTCCAGCAATAGTCTTCCGACGAGCCGTAGGAGGCCTAGGAGGGGGGGGGAGTCGGGCATAGCAAGAATGCCCCCCTGACGTTGCACAAAGATAGGCTCCATGGCATCACCAGAGCTGGTTGCAGCATGGCCTCGAGCAGGAGAAGGCGTGCGCTGCAGGGCGCCAGAGCTAGTTAGGGGCGGCGTGGGGGATGACTGAAACCCCGGCGGCCTAGAGGGTGACCGCAGAGGCAGCACGAGCGAAGCGGGCGCGCAGAGCTCCAACATGGCCTGGCTGGGTGCAGGGCTCGCAAGACGGGAAGCCGCGGCCTCAGCGCGTTTGGAGACTGGGCTTGGCGGCAGAACGGTTGTCGGAGAGAGCGGAGGGGACGCCGGGGGGTCCTTTCATCTTGCGAGCGGCGCCTGGAGGAGCGTGGCGATGTCGGACGCGTCGGGCTGCGCCCACGGACGACCACCAGCTCGAGGGCGCGAGCAGGCGCATCACTGGCCGAGCCCGAGCCCCTGAGAACCAGAGCAGCAGCAGGCCCCCTCCATAGGTGCGGGCGAAGCAGCCAGGCTGTTGCCAGCGTGCCGGCGGCCACCGGAGCGGTCCCTTGAACGGTTCTGGACCTCCCCTTGATGCCGGTCCCGAGCGTTTCGGGAGAGCGAGCGTCGGACCCTGGCACCCCATCCTTCCCGTGCGCGACCATCGTCACGGCCACGCCTGCCGTCACGGTCGCCCTCGTCTTCACGCCTGCCACCGCGGCGTTCTGCACATCCCTGGGTAGGCCCGCGCTCCCTTGGCGTGTACGTGCCGTCCACCTTCTTCCTGTACCAAGTGAACTCGTGGACGTCCGGTGGCGGCGGGTTGTCGTCGTCGTCCCCGGCCTTGGAGTGGTCCTCGTGGAGGTCGAGGTGGATGAGCACGCGGTGACGGAGACCTCGGCGTCCGCGGCGGCGGTGACCACAGGCCGAGAGAGTGAGCCATTTGACCTTGGGGATGGCACTGGGGTTGGACGTCCAAGCCCAAAGCGCCATGTCCCTTGTGTCCTCTTTGCGGAGCGATCGAGGCTCGATGTAGTCGAGGGAGCAACCTCGGCCGATGAGGAAGGTGGCGATGTAGTGGTTCCAGCCGTGCAGCGGGACGCCTTCCAAGCAGAGACGGACATGATGGAGTTGGTCTTCGTTGTCTGCATGAGCCTCGAGCCTCCACTCACGCACGAAGATGCGGTGGCCATTGCCACGAAGATCACCACGAGACACGGCTTCGGCGCAGTGGTGTTGATGCATGAAGCGCACCAAAAATTGCTCGGGGTAGTGCTTGACAACTTCGACGTCGGCCGGTCTCGCGCCCAGGGCCGTCGCGAGCTCGGCAGCCACCTGGTGGCAGGGGATGTCCTGCCTGGCCCCCTCCAGCCAGGCCACAGCACAGTTGGAGGCGAGGATGGCTGCCTCCGCCTGCATCTCAGGTGTCGCCGGAACGACGACGAAGTCCTCCTCTGGCCTTAGCGCGGCGTCGCCCATGCGCTGCATCACGGCAGCCGTTGCGTTGGACTGCAGCAGGGGGCGCTGAGCAGAGGTCTCCCAGCCCCGGCCCAGACGGGGCGGAGCCACGCGGTTTGCAAGAGAAGCAGAGGGGCGAGGCAGCGGTGGTGGGGGCACACGGAGACTGTCGAGAGAGCTCAGAGGCTTCCAGTTGTTCTTGCAGCCGCGCGATTTGTGCCCATTTTGTAGACAACGGGAGCAACGGATCGGGTCACGGCAACTCTCAGCCCTGTGCCCGCGGTGGAGGCACCGACAGCAGCGCCCCTGAAGCCAGCGAGGGATGGGCGCCGGCTTGAATGCTGGAGCGGCCAAAGCCGGGCGGCGCGGGCCATTACGCAACGTGACGATGTGCCAGCCGCCGGTCACCTCCGCCTCGCGCCCCGCGCCCGTCATTGAAGGAACGCCAGAAGCAGAGAGGGAGGAGGAAGCCAGCTGCCCCGCAACTCCACAGTTAATGCCAGCGCCCGCCCGCACTTGAATGCGCGGGGATGAGGCTGCGACGGCGCCATGCCCCGACCCAGCCAGGGCCAGACCCGGAGCCGACGCGCCTGGCTGCGAGTCGGGCACGAACTCCTCGGAGGCGGCGGCTCCAGATCCGCCATGCCCCGCCAGTGTTGAATCTGGATCCGGCGATGCGAAGTGTCGGGGGCTTCCTTGCAGCGTGGGACGGGCAGAGGCAGAGGCGCCACCGGGGCCGCCGACAGGGGGAGGTGGGAGGGGCATGAACCACGACGCGAAGGCGAGGTCGGAGCAGGGCGCGGCCACCGCCGGCGGCGCGGGCGCAGGCGCAGCAGGGAGGAGCGAGGGCGCTCGCATCTTCACAGCTCCGTCGGCTGTCTTTATACAGAGCGTAGCACGCTTCCAATGGCGTCCGAATTTAGGTGATCCGTCCACGTCCTCTTTAGCTTTTGCATAAAGCAGCACAAGGACTCCCATCCCAGGTTCTACGACCCGCGCATTTAGGCTTTATTACGCGCGCGGAATTATCCGCTAATGGGACGACAAAAACACTCGTTATAACAGCAAATAAAACGACAAAGGAAGCAATTTAAGCAAATACAGTACTATCAACAGAACGAGCAAGCAGCCACGCATATAGACCGAGAAGCATGGGTCAGGCGAGGGACATGGCTGGAGATCTCACTCGATCGCCACGAGGAATATGACACGATTTCGGGATCAATTCATCTGGCAAATATTGCACGCACGTACATGCAATCTGGTCCTCCCATCCTATGTGTACATGGGGTTTGCTATTTGTGTGATCACATCATCCTACCACTTGGGCCGCCCTATGAGCCGACCTAGAAATGGGCAACAAAAAGATGGGCTCACATGTTTCTGCTACTTTGCCCTCTCGGCTCTCGGCCAGCCGCTGCTAATGCCCCGCTTGGCTGTCATAGTCGAATTTGACACAAAGTGTCAACATGAGATGAGACTGCAAGTTTGATACGATTCGAGCTTTACAATGGCAAACACAAAATCCGTCGCCGGATATAGCTTGTAAGATATCATAGTTGGCTTACCGTTGGACATGCTGAATTCATTGCTTGCTCCTGTCTATAAAGAGTAGCAGTTCGATTCCAGCGTAAACGAAACCAGGCATCAATGAGGCAATGACATGGTAAATTTCAGAGCCCGTGTGACGGAAATTTTGCAAAGACACAATAGAATTGCAACAATGGTTGAATTTCCACACCGGCTCACCTAGCCTTCCAGGCCAGTTGTCAAAATTTGCTTACATTACAAACTAACCAGCACCTCTTGATGCTGCTCACTGTTACAAACTTGGAAGAAATCGTCAATCGTTCCTTCATCTTCATCATTATTTCTGCTCAACGTAACCAGTCTCCTCCTGCCTGTGGCTTCTCCAAAGAAGGTTGACCAGTCTATTGAGCTGGAGATGAGTCGGATGGTGAGTTCTCAGTTCCATTTGATTGCTCCACCAATACATCAGTAGCCGCCTCAGGTTCCTTGGGTGCCGCCGTTTCTACTTTCTCTTTCGACATCTCCTTTCTGAGATCCTCTTTGGCCAAGCTTGAGAATTGCTTGTCCAATGATCTTGCCGCGCCTAGCCATGCAAGCACGATGACCAACAGTATACCGCCAAGGTAGGGGGTCGAGTTTGCCAAAGAGCCAAATATCAGGATCAAAAACTGTTGGATCAGCGCACCACCCGATTTGCCCAATGGATTGCAGACAACATCAATGGCTGCCTTTCCCTTCAACTGTAAATGGACCAAAAAAAAGTTAGCATGTGAAGCATTACAATGGTGCAGTCAGTGAGAAGGATTGAGAATTAGCTAATCAAACATGGTGCGAACCAGGAAACATGAAAGAGAATATGGTATGGTGTTTACTGGACTAGGAGGCTACATGTGCACTGATCTTCTAAGACTGCTCGCAGCAAGGAACTGCACTTGTTGAAAGTACCTATATGTCTACAACACATTCGGCAGCAGGGAAAAACAAGTAATGTTGTTATCCAACTACAGGACCAGCTGAGCTCTGCATGAGATTTAATAAAGGTAGTATCTCTCAGCTGCATCCTGAGAAAATTTAATAGATTATCAAGGAGCTTTTTTACGGTACCCTGGTACTCTTTTGATAGGGGTGGGAGTACCAGTTAAATCCAACCATTGATTTGAAAGGGTAGTTCAGACCTTTTTCTTTCCTAACATAAGGGTAATGTTTATATTATTTTCCGAGATCTAATTCCCTCCCGGTGTCTTCATAATCACTCGCTGCCGCTCTTGATCGAGTGACCATGCACAGCCATGGCTACATCATCCCCGCAGGCCCTTGTATGCATCTGTCATCGGCTGCACTTCATGGAAACTTAATTACAACCATGATCGGCGGCGAGGCCTCCCGGACGTGCGCCTTATCTGAGTATTCTGCTAAACCATCGGCAGTTGCATCTCCGGAGTTCTGATCTTGCGATTTAATTATTAATTATTGCGCATCTCTGGTTCTTAGTTCGAAGATGCTAACAAATCCTCCCGATGCATCAGCGCACTATACGTGCAAATCCTGGCCAAGATATCCGGCTGGTTCGCTAATCACATCCCGTAATTAGTGGGGAATAAAATGACACCCTCACATAATACCAAATTAACAGCTGGTCTGGATTACCAATTTACCCTTGCAATGAAGGTACTCCCGAACTATTGGTTGTGGTACTCCCAGGTATCTATATTGGAGTACCAAACAATTCTACCCATCAGATCAGAGTAAATGGATGGCTCATATTTACTTAAGGGTACCGTAAAAGAGCTCTCTATCAAGTTGCCATACTAAATTCCTCCTGACAGTAACCGATAATTATGTGTAAATTATTTACTACTCCCTCTGTTTCTAAATACAAGTCTTTTTAGAGATTTGAATATGGACTACATACGGATGAATGTAGACGTATTTTAGAGTATAGATTCAATCATTTTACTCCATATGTAGTCCATATTAGAATCTCTAAGAAAACTTGTACTCCCTCCGTCCGGAAATACTTGTCGCAAAAATGGATAAAAGTGGATGTATCTAGAACTAAAATACGTCTAGATACATCCATTTCTTTGACAAGTATTTCCGAACGGAGGGAGTATTTAGGAACGGAGGGAGTAGTATTTACATATATTCAATCAAGAATTTGCTAGAGTAAACACATATGAAGCAACCAATTAACATACATGAACTACCATTAGGCAGAAAAGAAGACCAGTAAATGAATATAGTTCTTTCACAGAAAATATACCAAGGAATCACACAGATAAAAATGGAGTGTGGAAGGATGAACAAACCTTCATATCTCCATCCAAAGGAATATAGGCCATTTCCTTGCACGGGTCGAATAAACTGTACTTTGCACTTTTGCTAAATATGTTCTGCAGCGCACCCACATAAACAGCCGCAAGAAGAGGGGTCATACCCCATGTGGCAAGCAGGGGAGTCAGTGGTTGCCCAAACAAAATCAGAGAGAAGAAACCAACGCCAGTCAGCAACAAAACTGTGGGGGTGATCATGGCAGCCACTCCCCAGCCAAATCTTTGGAATATAATCCGACCTAACAGCATCATTGTGAAAGTTGCAATTCCAGTTGCGGTAGAGAAATCACCCATGAAAGATGAGTACTCGTTTGGACTGGGGAACTGCCAAAATGAATAAGGAATCATTACTGCGATGAAAAGGTTAAAGGAGTACAAGGAAAGAAGAAAAACAAAAGCCGGAAAAATTTACCTGTGCCTTGAGCTTCGATTTCCATGTGACTTCCACAAGATTGATACTAATGCCATATGCAACGACTAAGGTAGCAAGGTCCCTCACATATTTTGAAGAGATCAGAACTTTCATACTCTCTTTCATGCTAAGCTTAGGTTTGTTCTGTTGAAACAAAGGCTATCAGAATATGTAAGTGGTAATAAAAAGGGAAGCACATTCAAGTATTCTACTGACCTTTTTCTTCTTGTGGTCAGATTTTGGAAGAGAAGGATCATTCAACACAAGTTTGTTCACTCCCCAATAGATGGAAGTAATGACAAGCCCAAGAAGTACCACTATGCCCATCATTCCTTTCAAAGATACCTCCCAACCATCAACTCCTGGACCCATTGTCTTCCGCAAATTTGAGAAATATTTCACAGTACGCCCAGAAAAGATAAGCGCAATATTTGCCCCAAGGCCAAATAGAGGGTAGAATTCTTTTGCTTCATCGACTGTGGTGATCTGAAAATGATTTAATCAACTCAACTGGAGCACGAAGGGCTATCATTTAATAAGAAAGCTGAGCAAATATAAAACAAACATCGAACTCAAAATTCCATATGGCAGGCACAATAAGGACATGGACAAACAAAGCCATCACGAAGGTACCCTTTCTTTAGCAGTCTGCTCTCCAATGGACAGCAATAACAAACACCATGGTCAACCTTTGCCACAACAGTGCA